TGGCTCCGTGGTTGTACTTGCCACGTGAGTGGGCTGGGGGGCAGCTCCTGTGCCCACTTGGCCTTCTCAGTTCTTCCCTTATTTTCTTTTTTTTTTAAGTAAGTTTTTTATTGTGAAAATACTGTACAGAGGGGTTACAGTTACATGAGCAAGGTAATGAGTACATTTCTTATCCAGCATTGTTGTTTCCCTTCCCTTATTTTCATTTTGAGAGAAGTGAAATTTCCTGGTTTTCCTGTTGACACAAATGGAAACTCAGGGCTGGGAAGGTGGCTCAGTGGTAGAGCGCTTGCCTTGCATGCCTGAGGCCCTGAGTTCGATTGCTCAGCACCACATAAGCAAAAGGAAAAAAGCCGGAAGTGGCGCTGTGGCTCAAGTGGTAGAGCGCTAGCCTTGAGCTGAAGAGCTGAGGGACAGCACCCAGACCCAGAGTTCAGGCCCCACAACTGGACCCCAAAAAACAAAATCAACAACAACAAAAAAAATGGAAACTCAGTGTGGTGATTCCCAGTTGTACCACAAGATGGCGTCGGTGTCCACTGGGCCTTTGGCTCAGACTAGAAGGCTGCAGGGAGCTGTCCCCTCTTGTAACTCTGTGGGACTCGTGTCTAAAGGAGGCCATGGGTAGCATTCAGCCAATTTGGATCTTTGTGGAGTCCTGCATTCCCAGAGCCATGTATTCTAACACTAATGTTGCTTATGTACCTCCGGTTGCCCACCACAGAAACCAGTGACCCCCAGGTGATTGGTTCTGAGGCACACCTAGAGCAGTCTCCCCCTCGCTCTGCTGAGGTTTGGGGCTGGATCTTCCTTGGGAAGGCCATGGCAGGGTGTTAGCAGCCATGCCTCCCAGTGCCATGAGCCACTGCTCCCTGAGTGCTATAGGGCACAGAACTGAGGAATGCTGGTCTCAATTGGGGTGCGCAGTGTGATTGGACAGAACTGTGTGGCCCACACGGGGTTGGAAAGCCTTGCTGCCTTCAGTAATAAAGGAACTGTATGCTGTTTTCCAAATGATTAGTGTGTGCTGAAAGAACAAAACCAAACGTAGAAGTTATCTGTAACCCTTACTAGTATTTAATATTTCCTTGATTATAAACGCTGTATGTAGTTGTAGTTTTATCATATAGCTGTCCCAAATATTTTCTCATAGCATTACAATGCCATGGCCACAGTGCATGGAGACCCGCCCATTTCCCTGTGATTGACATCGTATACACTCTTCTCTTCCTGTGAATTACCAGCTCCTACTCTTGTTACTAGTATTCTAAGTTTGTCTTCTGTGGGAGGCACCATGGTACCTCCCCCCTCCCCCCCTTCTCCCTCCACCCCTGGGGCCATCTCCAGTATTGGAATTACTGGATCACTGAGTAGGAAAAGAGGTCCTGGTAACCACTTTCCACAGAAAAGAGAGCCCTTTTCCATATCCTCACCAGCCCTGGCTTTTGTCCTGTGGTTGGATGTGGTGGTACAGGCCTGTAATCTCAGCACTCAAAGTCACAGTTCAAAGCCAGCCCCTGCAGAAAAGTCCTGGAGACTAATTAACCAGCAGAAAGCTGGACTGGAGGCATGTCTCAAATGGTAGAACACCAGATGAGCAAGCAAGTGGGAGGCCCTGAATCCTAGCCCTAGTATCAGCACACACAGAAAAGATACAAATCAGGAGACATTCTTGCTGGAGACTTAATAAAATCCATATAACAGATGTGAGCCTTGCTGGCTCAGGAGTAGTCCTCCCTCCTCCTGCCCCTCCCGTGTTGCCCTCCCTCTCTGCCAGGGTCCCATTCCTCAGAACAGCCACAGCTAGCCTTTACTGAACACCTGGATTTCTGTGAACTGCCTCATCCACACTCACAGCAACCGTAGGTGGTGGCATTTCAGGGCAAAGGCACCTCCAGAGCTGCAGAGCAAGTGGGTGGTGGGCTGGTGTTTGACACAGGTACCTGGGCTTAGCCTGTGGCTTGAAGCCTTGTCCATAGCTTGCCCCTGGCCTCCCAGCCCTCCCTGCCTCTCCACCACCCCATGCTCTTCTCTGCACACACACACACGTCACTCCTGGGGCTTGAACTCGAGGCCTGAGCACTGTCTCAGTTTTCTTCATTCAAGGCTAACGTCTACCGCTTGAGCCACAGCTCCACTTCGTTTTCTGGTGGTTCATTGGGGATAAAGAGCCTCACAGATTTTTCTGCTTGGTCTGGCTTCAAACCATGATCCTCAGATCTCAGCCTCCTAAGTAGTTAGGATTACAGGCATGAGCCACTGGCACCTGGCTTGGATCTTTCTACATGCCTGAGGAGCCTCTGTGCCCCTTAATCTTCCTCTTTCAATGCTTTCCTACTTGCACAGACACCCCTCCCCCCATGTAGATCTAGCTTGCTCCTACCTTGTCGCAGTCTACATGTCAGGTGATAGACTCTGCTTTGACACCTCCAGCTACACCAGGTGATAGAACCTGCTCCATCACCTCCAGTTACAGTCCTGCTTCCTGCATTAGTTTTTTTTTTATTATTTATTTATTTTCGCCGATCATGGGGCCTGAACTCTGGGCCTGGGCACTGTCCCTCATCTCTTAAGCTCAAGGCAAGCACTCTACCACTTGAGCCACAGCGCCACGTTGGCTTTTTCTGCTTATGTGGTGCTGAGGAATCAAACCCAGGGCCTCATGCTTGTAAGGCAAGCATTCTACCACTGAGCCACCTTCCCAGCCTTCCTGCGTTCTTTTAAATGATCTTTCTGTTTTAGAATGGGTTTTGTTTTGTCCTGTTTGGCTTTGTGGTTCTAGGGGACTGAATGAGCCTCAGTTGCTGGGCAAGTGTAGCAGCTCTGAGCAACATCTCTAGCTTCACAAGGGTTTTAGATCGTCCTGCTCTCCCTGTTATCTGACTTCTTGAGTCAGTGCAGTGGGGTAGAGCCCATAGCACAGGTGGGCTCGCTAGCTTCCTGCTTCAGGGCTGCACGTGTGGTGGCATCCGTGTCCTGGGCTCCGCTGGCTGCAGGCACCTGTGTGCTTTACTTGGGTCTGGTGTCTGTAACCACCTTGGGATTTGCCAGTTTTCTCCAGGCTGGGGGCTGGGGAGACACTGAGGTAAAGTGCCATTGCCATTCCGTGTCCAGGCTGCATGTGCCAGGATGCCTCCCGCTGCTGTGCCAACTCAGCCGTCTGCTGAGCTGGCAGATCTCTCATGGTAAATTTACCCTGAGGAAGAAGCCACGTGCACAGCCCAGCTGCACCTGTCCTGCTGGGGGATTCAGCGAGGATCACGTCTCCTCCGTCTTTACCCTGTCTCAGCCTTTGCTGACATCACGACAGCCGCGGCCGGGCAAAGCTACCTGTCTTGTCTCTCAAGTTGGTTCCTTGGCCATCTGGGCTTTTTCTGCTGGCTCTTGTCTCTTTCTGTTTGACCAAATTCCATCATTGTGCACGCACGTGCGCGCGCACACACCCACACACATACACACACACCGCTTTTTTTTTGGTAGTATTTCCTTTCTGGCATTACAGAGTATTCCAGACAAGACAGGCCATCTTGTGTATTTCCTGCTCTGGGCCCAAAGCAGGCCTTCATCCAGGAAGGCAGTGCCTTGTGTGGAGGGAAGGCAGCAGAGGGCAGCTTCTGGCAGGGTGTGTTCTTCCCTTCTGCACTTTGTTGTCTGTTTTTCTCCGTAGACAGAGCAAGGAAATAGCCAGGCATTCCATTGTCTGAGAAATGCATGCTGGGTGATCATATGCTCACACAAACTAGGATGGCTATGACTCCCTGGGGGATAAAGGGTTACAGAATGTGGCAGTATATGTGCACATACGCCAACTGGCGCATACACACGTACCCCACGCTGCTCATGCGTAGCTAGTTGTGTCCACATGTAGCCAAGCATGAGTTCATCCTGGTGTGTCCAGCTCATTAGGTTTTGTCTGGGCCCTCGGGCTGCAGCGCTGCCCCACGCCCGCCCTCTGCAGGCCTGTGCAGGCCCAGGGCATGGCTGTGGTTCCATAGTGACTGTCAGATGACTGTGTCCTGTACCCAGTCACCTCTCTATGGGCAGCTTTGCTGAAGCAAACGTTCTTGTGTTGGATTCTGTGTGCGCCGTTTTAAATCCATGCAGTAGATACCCAGGCGTGTGATTGCCAGACTGTGTGGGGAACTGCCGAGCTCTCTCAGAGGGCCACCTGTTTTGCACTCCTACTCTTGACAGATGGGAGTTTAGTCACTCTACACCCTTCCTCCCCTCCTTCTGGCTGGCAGACTCTCTGCCACCTGAGCCACATTGCCACTTCCAGCTTTTTGCTGGCTAATGGAAGGTAAGAGTCTCTTAAGTTTGTCTATGAGAGCTGACTTTGAACTGCGATCCTCAGATCTCAGCCTCCAGGATAGCTAGGATTACAGGTGTGAGCCCCCGGCGCTGGGGTGAGGGAGTCTTCCTCATAGTGCCTCTCTTGAGGACTTTGATGCTCTCTCCCACTTTGAAGCCACCATAGTAGCCAACCGCGTGGTGGTAGGGGCACAGGGCAGGGGCAGGGAGAGAGCACGAGGAAGAGATGGGCACAGGACACAGGGTAAGTCAAGTCCTGCTCGTTTGCATGAGGAGCTTTGGTTGCCTGGGAGAGTTCTGCAGACCACCCCTGCTCACGAAGCGGGGGCGGGCTGGGAGCATGCTGTCTCTGTCAGGCTGCGGGGTGTGGGAGGCAGCCTAGGAAGAGCAGGGTGCCACCATGTGTGCCACACAGCTTGAGTGCTCTCTGCGGTGAGAATCAGAGATGGGTGGGAAGGTTGACAATGAGTTGTGTTAAGACTGGTGGGGCCATTGCTCCTCCCATGCTGGGCATCGCAGGAGATGGGACCCCAAAGCTAGAGGCTTGGTTTGAGGGGACTGTACCTGCACCTTTTGGCGTCACTATGAGTCAACGTGGGCTCTGGGGCCCAGCTGTCCAGGATGGAGGTGCTTTCATTGTTCCGCACTCCCCGAGGGGTACCTGTGCTCAGAATGTCATGTGCTTCCAGGACCTGGTCCATCCCAGGAGCAGCAGGCCAGCAGCTCTGAGGAGGCGTCTGGAACCGACCAGGAGGAGGAGGAAGAGGAGGAGCCCAGCTTCATCATGGGTCGATGAAGTGCTTACATGGCAGCTGTCAAGAGACTGGCTGATTCTGCGACCCGGGCCTGGAACATTCGGAGCTGGGAGTGGGAGTCCCACCCCGTGGGCTCCCGCAGTCAGAGCCCGCACACTGACACCGAGGCCCCACCTGCTGGAAGGGAACGTGCCTCACCTTCCCCCTCACGCCATCCTCTCCTATTGGAGCTGGCTTCTGTGCAGGGATGTTTACTTAGTAAAGAACAAAAAGCCTTTAGGTTTTGTTCAGACATGTGAAAACATTAATTAGCACAGCCATCAGGAGGCCTGCAGGGACACGGTAGAGGCGGCCTCAACATCGGACAGGTCCAGCTCCCACACCTCCCAGGCACACCATGGGACTACATGGGGCTGCGTAGCCCGCACCACAGGCGCCTAGCTCTGTTCTCTGCAGCAGAGGGAGGCTGGCCCTGGGAAGGCAGCAGGTGGCCAGAAAAATACAGGAAGAACACCCAGGCTGGGCTGAGCAGGGAGAGGCCTGGGCGCCTTGCCATGCTACAGGTGGACATTGGCGAAGATGCCCTTTCATCCTGCATCCAAGGGGATGAACAGGATCGCACCAGAACCAGGCAGCCCGCACAGGGTGTGGAGCCTGTGACAGACCTCATTAGGGCCCTTGTTGTGTTTAGGTGACCTCCAACTACTACTATCTCCGTGTGGGCCCTTTTATCCTATGCCCCAGCACTAAGTGCAGGGGAGTGTCGTCCTGATCATTCCATCACTGCCGTCATCCCCCCTCCCCCCACATATCCTTTGCTTTTCATGGACTCGGGTAGTGTTGGTTTGGAGTGAGGGAGATCCGAGAGTGTGGGTCTTTCTTTCCTTCTGCCTTGTAGCTCCCTGGCCCCACTCTGAGTGCATGACACCTTCTGTTATCTCTGCTCCTGTGCCTTCCCAGGAGGCTGAAATCTATCACCCCCATTGGTACCGCCTGGCACATCTGGACACCTCTGTCTCCCATCTGGTGTCTGGTTCTTCTGTCTGCAGCTGAGTGGGCAGTGGCAGCAGTTCTGGCATCAGTGCCACGTGCTGCGTGGCTCCCCTCTGCCTTCAGGGTGTTACTTGTTTGTGTTACATGGTGTCTTTGAGAAGGCAGGGTGACCGTGCACCACAGGCCACAACTCGGGATCATGCGGTAACATCCCAGGCAGCACGTGGCTAAGGGAAGTCTGGAACCAAGCCACAGGGTGTATATAGTGTAATTTCAGGCTCGGAACCTCAGTCTACAGCTGTACCACCCTGAGTGCACCAGCTCTCATCTGACCGTGGAAAGGTTGAGCTCCAAGGTAGGACTTCATTCCTTCCCTCCTTCCTTCCCTCTCTCCCTGGGCACTGCTGTGGCAGCCCTGGTCAGGCCTCCAGTTGGGTTTACTGAACAAGATTTGTTTCCCAGCTACGTGACTAGATTCGATCTGCAGTTATGCTGTCCTGGGCAGAGGCTGTGGCTCGTAGTCCCTCTACTTGAGCTCCCAGGGTGCTGGGAGTCCCATGGCTGGGGTGTTGGCGTGCTGTGGGTCTGAGGCAGTTCTAAGGGCAGCTGCTGGTTACTCATGGACTCTGTGAGTGTGTTCATTAAAGCTGACTTGTCACCCAGTCCATGCTCACATGCTCTCATAATCATTTGTAGACACAGGTGTGGGAAGTGGCCGGATGGCGTGTACATCCCCAGCGGAGGCCACGGGAGGCTGTGTTATGTTTCCCGTGCCCTCACGTCCATATTTGGTGTTTTTGCAGTGATTTGCTATTTACCCGTGCCTCCCCTCTCCCCCCACCGTGTGGTGGTGAGGTTGTGCAGTGTTGCTCCCACCCGAGACAACTCTGGTAGGGAAGACGCTGGAGCAATACCACCAGACCCACGCTGTAAGGCGGGGCCAGCAGACCCAGCCCTGTATTTCCTGAGGAGCAGTGTGTGTAGGCATGTGAGCACTGTCAGCTCTGTGTGCACATGGGTCAGCTCCATCAGCTCTGTGTGTGCACATGCTGGCAGAGCAGTGTGTGCAACCCTCCTTCCATCCCCCCTCGAAGGAGTCTTCACCTCTCCCTGATCCCAGGACTTGGCATCCTGTGGATGCAAACCCTCCCACAGCCCTGGTGAAGTGGCTGGTCCCCATGCTGCCTACAGCTCCTCCACTCCCAGGACCTCCATTTCTTTGTTGTCCCAAGCCACTGTCTACAGGGGCCTTACCCCCTCATTCTATGTCATCCTCAGTCCTCATAGCCCCCGGGGATCCTGGCCACATCAGGAGCTCCAGAGCCCAGGACATGGCAGCTGCTCAGTAACAGCCCACAAAGGGTTTGAACAAATCCCAGGGGCAGATGTCTTTTGCACCTGCAGGACTGCTGCATGGCTGTGAGAGGGGAAGAGACATCTGCAGCCAGGTGCACAGGCAGGAGGCCCGGCTGGGTACAGTGGCACCTGCCTATGGGCCCAGACACTCACGAAGGTCATGAATTCGAAACCAGCCTAGGCTGCGTAACTGTAAAATTCAGCCTCAAAACAACCCAGATTCCTAGATGATATTCCAGAAATTCCCTTCATTACAGCTCAGCTATAAATGAGGTATTTGTGCTGATACTGGGGCTTGAACTTGGGGCCTGGGCACGGTCCCTGAGCTCTTTTGCTCAAGGCTAGTGCTCTACCACTTTGAGCACAGCACTGCTTGCTGTTTTCCGGTGGCTAATTGAAAAGTCTCACAGACTTTCCTGCCTAGGCTCATTTTGAACAGTGATTCTCAGATCTCAGCCCCCTGAGTAGCTAGGATTTGAGGCGTGAGCCATCAGTGCCCGCCCAAAACATTTTTTGTTGTTTCCAACTTTTTTTTTAGTAGTGAGAATTGAACCCAGGGCATTGGCTTGCTTGGCAGATGCTCTTGTCTTTTGAGCCCCACCACTAGCCCTTTTGCTTTTCAGTTTATTGGGGTCTTTTATGTTTGCTAGCCTTGAGCTACCATCATCCTCCTATATAATATCTGAGTAGCTAGGATTACAGGCATCCTGTACCATAGCCAGCCTTGAGGATTACCTTTTCTTTTTCTTTTAGTGCCTTTTTTAACTCAGGGTCTGGGCACTGTTCTTGAGCTTTTTTGCTCAAAGCTAGTGCTCTACTACTTGAGTTACAGCTCCACTTCTGGCTTTTTTCTGGTTAATTGACGCCAAGAGTCTCAGAAACTTTCCTGACTGAGCTGGCTTTGAACTGCATTTCAGATCTCAGCCTCCTGAGTAGCTAGGATTACAAGTATAAGCCCAGAAATTGGTGCCAGGCAATAATTATCTTTTAGAAGCTGAGTTGTTAAGTTAGAGGAATGCTGTTCTACTGACCTGGAGATAGGAACATAACTGGATCAAGTTCCCAGGGCTTAGAGGAGGAAGGGCTGCTTGGAAACTGCTTAATTCATCCAGGAATGAGGAATCTGTTCCTTCTCCTCCCCTTTGGAAGTTAATTTGTTTACTCTTTGGCATACTTGACAAAAGTGGGCTGCAATTACCATATATTTGCATGCATTTCCATAAAGAGAACTCTTAGACTTGAGCAAGTCCCAAGAGGCAGCTGCCAGCTTTCTTATTCCATCAGATGTAGTAAATGTTTATTGGGCACTGACCAAATTCAAAGCCCAGAGACTCCCAGGTGACTTAAGGCACAGAGCTTGGTGGTGAGCAAGACAGAGGTCTTGTCTTAGAAGAAGCACCATCTCTGACCTGAGCAGGACCAGATCAGAGCAGTAGTGGGCACTGGGCCAGCCTCTGCGAAGGGATCTTTCACATTCTGGTGTGGAGAATAGATGGGGACCAATGAGGACCTGGCAGTGCTGCAACCAGAGGCAAGGGTGGTGGGCAACGGGAGATTGAGCTTGTGCCCCTCTGTGTAGATGAAGACAGAGGGGCAGGTGCGTGAGGGTGAGGACCTGCCATGCTGCCCCACTCTGCTGCCACTTCTCCATGGCCAGGAAGAGACACAGGCTTGGGCATCATGGAAACAGTGAAGTAGGTGAGACCAGCCTGGGAGGAGGGGACCCACAGGCTGCTGGGAAGTGCCCCTGTCTCCAGGAAAGGCTTAGTGGGGGGGTGGGGGGAGAGCAGCCATGTGTGGTCGCCAGAACTGATAGAGGGGTCCTCAGTGACTGGGGCTGAAATATCCCATGGGTTTAGTTAACACCATGTTGGTGGATTGGGGTGGGAGGGACTGAGGTCCAGGAAAGGAAACGGGTAGGAAAGTAGGTGGCATGCGTGGGTTTAATCCCCGGAATCTTAGTTGAAATGGAAGCAGTCTGGCTGTGTGTAGAGGTAGGTCTAGATTGAATTCTGGTGGTTTCAGAAGGAGGGATGGGGGGCTGGGAAGGTGGCTCAGTGGTAGAGCGCTTGTCTTGCATGCATGAGGCCCTGGGTTCGATTCCTCAGCACCACATAAGCAAAAAGAAAAAAGCCGGAAGTGGTGCTGTAGCTCAAGTGGTAGAGCGCTAGCCTTGAGCTGAAGAGCTGAGGGACAGCGCCCAGGCCCAGAGTTCAGGCCCCACGACCGGACCCAAAAAAAAAGAAGGAGGGATGGAATGACAGGGCACACATGCATGTGCCAAGGTCTGACAGATCCCGGGGGCCTTCTCTACAGTCTGGGCCTCCACCTCCAGAACTGAGCAAAAATAAACTCTTGCCTCCATACAGCAGCCTCAGGTGTGTTGCTACAGCCACGGAATGGTGACTAATACAGGGATGGCGGATTCAAAGGTTTTACAGAGAAGCGGCTGTGGGTAATGGATGACGGGCTAGGCCATAGGAGGGAATGGCGGAGGGGACTGGACACATGGGCCACACCAGCTGTGAGGCTGGGCTCAATGGTAAGCGCTGGCATGGAGAGGAAGGCCAGGAGCCTGACCCAAAGAACCAAGGTGCGTGCTGACTGGCACTTGAAGGTGGCTGGCCCTCAGATAGCGGCCTCTAATAACAGCTTTCTTCAATGGAGAGAAAGAGAGGAAGCCACCCACCAAGGCCAGCAGCCCCCAGTGCAGCCCAGCACGCTGAGAACAGGTCAACTGCATTTGACCTCAGCCTCTGTCAGCCAGCTGTCCACTTCCTCCCGCACCTCCCTCCCGCCAGGGACAAACAAGACAGAAACAAACCTGTTTTCTGTGTTTGGTTAGGAAAAGCTCTGAAAGGCACTGGTGACTGCAGCTGCCATTTTGCATCTGTCCAGGCATGCCAGGTAATTGGTCTGAGAGTGGAGGCTTTGCTGACTGGCACAGGAAGACAGTCCAGCTTTCCTGGTAGACTGGGCGGGGGAGGGGGTGTAAAAGCCCAGCTTTACCCAGGCGGTTTGCGGCTGCGATGCTGAGCCCGTGCTCCTGCTTACAAAGCAGCTCTTCCTGTTTGCAAGTGCATTTACAAGAGCGTGGGGTTGGGCAGCCGCAGCCAGATTGTCTTGAGGGCTGCGTGCCCCATCGCAGCCCTCGGCGGGGGCCCAGCCCGCCTCTTAGCTGGTCTGTGCTGTGAAGCGTCCGGCCCTGGGCTCCCAAGCGCGGCTCCAGGGTGACCACATTCCGCCGTCTGTCGGGCCCGGCCTGGACCGTTTGGCACCAGGGGAATTTTTCACTGGTTTGGGTAAATGTGTCACGGACCCGTGCTGCCGCCGCGCCGCGACAGATGGAAAAATCCTATGTAGGACGCGCGGCGGCCTCCGGGCCCGGGGCGAGGCCTTGCCGGGGCCGCCCCTCACCCCGGCACCCCTGCTCCCCACACCGGCCCTGCGCCTGTCACGCCCCCCGCCTCATGCCCCGGCGTCCCCGCACCCCACCCCGCGGTTACCCATGCACTTCCGGGAGCTCCGCGCCCCGAGTGTGTCGGTCGTAAACCCGCCAAGCGCGCAGCCAGGGGTGCCGGGCGGGGTCTTGGGCCTAGGGTGACCACGGGGTGACGGGGTGACCCCGAGTGGCCGTGCCGGGTATCTGCCGCCTCGCCATCCTGGTGCCACCCCCCGCGTGCAGGTCCCCCCACTCTGGCCCAGCGGACTCGGGCCCCGACCCCCATTCTGGGTCAGCCGGTGCAGGGTTCCCGCGGTCACGTGG